AATTAAATGATAGTGCACTTACTGTGACGTTTTTTGGGAGGCAAAGGTGGGGGTTCACCGCTGTCTTCAATACTGTTATTACTACTCACTATACTCGAGCTGCTACACAAACTTTGAGATTGGTGCATTTCACAAGCGATGACCAATTCGCCACCTGTGAAAAAAGAACAACTATCAAAAATTATATATTAAACTCCGTCGAAATATTGATAAGTGAAGGGCCCTTGTAATCTGTCCAAGTGGAATATGAACAAAAGTATCAAAGATTTGTAGTTCAACGTTAAAAGAATAAAATAAGATAATAATTAACAAAACTTACCTAAGTTATTATCAGGTACATTATCATACGGAGATGGCTGCCTATTTTGGGGCTGCCGTTTTTTTTGTTTCTCTGGAATGGCGGGGGGTATGTCGGCCGCATTTTCAACCGTCAAGGTCGTTTTAGTGCCAGCTACGGACACCGTATTAACTGTCCTCTGAGTGTAAGAAGTTTGCTTACTGCTCTCAGTCTTTATCTCAGCCGTGGATAATATCGTGGCAGATTTGGCTTGGAACGCCGACGAAGAGTTCCAATGGCTGCTCACGCTGCTTTGCTGCGAGCTCCTTTTCGAATATCTCGAACTACGGTGCGAGTCCACCGACACAAAGCCTGAATCCGTGTTCGACAATCGATTTGCGAAGAAATTGTTCACGTGGAGTTCGTTGGATTGGTTAAAAAAAGAGGAGTTTTGCTTCAAAAACGAATCGTCCAATCCTTGGAATACAAAATTATAAATGAAGGAGAAAAAAACATCAATTAAAATTATGTTTATCTAAANCATTCTAAACAGAAAAACAAGTCCCCAATGGGGATGCCCCATAAGGAAAAATCACACTATTTTCATCACAATTATAGCCATTTACCTTTCTAGACTAGAATTAAATAAGGAATTATTACTACTAAAGCATTCGTCAACTGGCTGGTAACTTCTGTTCACTTTTTTCTTTGGCGGAAGCGGAGGGGGCGTGTCAGCATCGTCGACTTCCGTCCGACTTATGCTAAAAAATATTCTGAAAAAAAAATCTTTTTTGATTAACAAACCACTTTTACAAAAATAAAAAAGCCATACCCGTCTGGAATGGGCGGTTTGGGTGGTGGACTCGAATCCCGTAGGACAGATTCGGAACTGTGACTGCCTCGTACCTTTCCGCTTACACAGGAAGTCTGCTCGAGAATTTGCCTGTCTCGAGGAGTTAAAGGAATGTCCGGTAGGGAATTTCGTTGTGCTGGCATATCGAGGCTGGCGTTCCCGTGGGATTTATATGATATGCTCTGTTGTAATGCCATTTTTTCTTGCACCAGCGCTATCAAATTCTTAAAATGATAAAAAAAACGATCACATTTGGTAACAGTGTTAAAAATTCATTTGCGAAAACGAAATTTGAAAAGTGTGCAAAATTAAACAAACATTTATTAAGACATTGACTGTTAGTTTTCAATTTGTTCAAGTATACATGCATGTAAGATAAATTTGGAAACCACCAGAACATTCTGTTTCTGTTAAGTGGTTAAACAAGCTCAATCTTAAAGAGCGATAACGACTACCTATAAATCGAAACACCACGAATAATCTTACCTTGACCGAATTTTCGACTTGTGCTAGGACATCGCAGACATTTTTCTCATCCAAGGCCGCACTCTGGTCTCCATCGATGAGGACGTCATCGCAAAGTTTTATGAGTTGCGCTACGCTCTGGTACATCTTACGCGTGGCTGATAGAACGGTGGAACTGCTTTCAGAAGTGCACGATTTCACGCCCAAATTTATGGCCCAAACAGTGTCCAATACGATGGTACCGTTTCCCGGTAACATCTCCAACGTATTTTTTGACACTACATCGCGGAAATGGGTTAGAGCAAATTGGATCTGAAACAAACAACGTTGACGTGATTGAGAATACTGAAACTTTGTCGAGGCAAGAATAATAATTCTAATTCTTTTCATATACCACGTAGAATATCGTTTGAAAGATCTAGAAATAAAAAATTCGAAACTGTTTTGAGAAATTCCAACTGTCATATTTCTACAGATATCAACTACCCCCTAAACATATTTATCTACTTTATTACTGAAACTACAATAACTATAAAAAAGCACGATTAATAAAATAACTTTACTTAAGCTTCACTACATAGCATAAAACAAAGTCCTTTCCCGCTGTCTGTCCCTATGTATGCTTAAATCATTAAAACTATGCAACGGATTTTGATGCGGTTTTTTTTAAAAGATAGAGTGATTCAAGAGGAAGGTTTATATGTATAATACATGCATAATATAGTACGGAAACACCGATAATTTTAGAGGTTTCTAATGTGATGTCGTAAATAAACACATTTTTTGCGCTTACATTACAAACGCTGGCTGAACCCTACGAGATAGATCAAA